TCGTAATAACCTTATTATTATACATCTTTTCCTCCCAAGGATACACTATGGGAATGTCAAAATCCAAAATGTTTAGAACAGAATCAGCAAACTTCTTTGTGTGGAGTCCAGTCAAACCCTTGTGGCAGCCATGTTTGTTTTTATTATTAGAGGACACTTACGTGTGTAATCATTCCATATTTGGAATTCACATTTCCTTATATAGTAGGATGAAAATACCCCATACAATACCGCAAAATTATGGCACACTGTACTGCATTACGGTGACATATGTATAATAATAAAAGATATTACTGTACTTGTAGCTCTTTCTTCAAAGCTAGCATAACATACCTTAATTCTCCAGTACCTTGAAGTTCTATCATATACACCCACAGTACCATTGGCTAAGGAGTACCCAAACCTGCTGTTCTCCATTGCACACAGTGATGTTATGGCCTGTCAAAGGCAAATAAACACACTGAAATACCGGGTACATCCAAAAATTACACACATGCAAACAAAATAACACAGAAATAAATTTATAGACAATTTTGTTAGATTCTTCAATGTAAAAAAAAACAACAATTTTTGACGTTGCTAATGAGCAAGAAATTTACCTCAGTTTCAGTCATCTCAGCAATTATTTCATCTTCTTGAAAGACTCGGATGTCATAATCCTCAGATCCCACCACCAGTTCTTTCTTGCCATCACCAGTAAAATCACATAATGTTAATGAGCAAACATTGTCACCAGTAACCTGTGAGATCAAACTTCATCATTATTTATGTGCATTTTAAAAGTGTTTTAGTGTGGTCAAAACAGAGGTGGTTTAATATTTATCTCATCTTTGCCTAGAATAAGAATATTTTCACAAGATGTTTTTTACAGAATAGTGAATAACTTGAAAAAGTATTAATACAGGTATTTTGTCAAACTGATGTTGGTTACTATTTGAATCGGTGGCTAACTTCATGCCTATACCAATATTAATTACTACCAAGCCTTCTTAAAAAACTGCACATTATCAATAAACCAAGCACTTCATTTGGAAAATTGTTACACTGTATTTAGAAGAACACCTCAGTCTGTAAGCCAGGAACAATTTTATCTATCAACTCCCTGGTAAGCCAGACATTAAGGTTTTAGTTTTTCTCCTATGGTAGCACACATACTGGCATAAACATCAGATTTGGTTGTACAAATATGTCATACACTTCTACAGATGTCTTTCTTTCCCTGCTCTATTGGAAAACAATCATAGAGCTTAAGCTTAGGAGTTGGGAGCTGAAAGCTGCTATATTTCAAAGTAAAAATTCATGAAATTTTCTTCAAGCTGGCATTACAGTAATAATATACAGAATATCCAAGGACACAAAGGCAATTGTCTCCAAGTGCATCAATCATCTGAAAACTGCTTGATTGATTCAATGATTGATTGATTGATTGATTGATTCAATGATTGATTGATTTGTTGTGGTATTTGCATTGGAAAATGTGTTCTAATCAAGGAAATGTAATACACATTACATGTTGAGATTTCAAAAGTTTGATATCATTAAATTATAAACTTACAGTCCAGAAAAGATCATTTCCTTCAATGTCAAATCCTTGTAGAGCGCAATTACCACCTACAATAGCTAATGGGGCATCAATATTACCCAACTGACCCATTATAATAGCATTCACACCATCTGGTATCTACAAGTAGGTAAACAGAGGAAAAAAGAACAGTTAATTATCACATCTTGAAGGTGACCGTCATTTTGTAATCAAAAGTCTGTGCAACAAATTTGACCTTCAGATTCTGTTGTTTAAATCCTCACTCATAATGGTACATAAGCATTTTCCACCCACTGGTGCAGTCAATGAACACACAGCTTGCAATTCTCAGGACTATTGCAAATGCCAGGGAGGCTCTCATTAGCTTTTCAATTGTTTGGCTTTTTGTGATCATTATACATCTGAAATTGGTTTTGATGTTAATCAGAATATTGTATCTGTATAGCCAAACACAGGGAACAATGCAGTACCTAGAGTGGCATTGATAGTGTAAAAGTGTTTTGCTAATTAAGCTAACCAATATAACTGTTTAAAGCCTTGCTTTTCATATTGGTTACACACAAGCTTCTACAATAATCTTGTATGTTTGTATGTATGTAGAAAGTAGTTACTATTGCATGATGTGCCAACAAAAAATATCCTTGCATTTTTATGCGGTGATTACATGGGGCAATTAACAGCCAGTAAGGTATAGAATGAAACCAAAAAACTTAAAATTAGTGTGAACCATATAATACCTTGGAGATAAATAAACAGATAATAGTTCTGATTGGTTTGAGAAAACAGAGAATGACAATACAATTTCATGGTATTCTTAGTAATGAAAACAGACATAGGTACCGTAAAGGGGGTAATTATTCACTGGGTTTTAATTTAGCTTATTTCACTGACTGGAAAAATGCGCTAAATTAAAACACAGTGAATATGTAAAATTTAGCATAGAACACATTATCTAAATGATGAAACCGTGAATTTAAAACCCACTGAATATGCCTGAAATGGTAAATCAGTGAAATTTAAACACAGTGAAAATTAGTCATTTTACAGTAAACAAGAATGAACCTGTCAAGAACATAGTTGAAATATTTGAAAGAAGTGCATGTGTATTTGTTTTAATTTGTGATACTAGAATACTGGAAAACCACTTTTGTGACTTAAATTGCATGTGAGACAAGTAAGGGAAATCACAGAATATTGTAGTACATGTAGTGATTTTGACAGTGGTTCACAGTAAACCAGGAACTAAATTAATAAAATGATTTCATCTATAACTTTTAAAGTAGGACATCTAAAATTTAGAACATGGTAGCATACATGTGCCAACCCTACATATAAAATGGTTGTTATGGCAACAGAACTGAAAATATTATTTTTTTAATTTTTCGACCAAACAATAAATATATCAGTTCACCATATATTTTATAAAATTTATTGATGAGAATACCTATACTGGTTATATATAACCTGTTGACTGCAAATATTTTATTTTCAATGACCAAAATAACCATTTTTATTTATTTTTGTGTCTTTGAAACATTATAATTTCTATTATTAATTAAGCAATATGCACACTGAAATTTACATCAGCATTTTACAAGCTATAGATGAAATCATTTTCTTAAGATTTTGTAACAGATGTCATATTTCATAAATCATAAGAGTTGCGTGAATATTTTTAAAACACAAAGTGATATAGAAAAGCTGTTAGCCTAGACTTCCCCTTTAAGAAAGCTTAAAAACAAAGGGAATTATTATCAAACTCAAGACTTTGCAAGACTTCGCATATTCTACTGCGTAACTACATTTTGTACAATCATGATTCTATATTTACACATCTCTACATTAGTTATTTTATTTTGGACTAAATAAAGGTAATTTAAACAAGTCATTGTTATCCCTGTTAGAATAATATGGACCAAAAGCATAATTAGTAATTGAGAGTGGATAATTGGCTGGTCTAGTATCAACAGAAATTAGATGTAATATTTCACTATTCCAAAATCAAAATACATGGTCAGAAATTAAACAGGATATGCTATTCATGCAGTTTTTGTATTCAAACTGAATTTCATTTGTCCAGGCCCATGTACAGAGATATAGTAGTATGAAGAAGCAAGATTTTAGGCAGTCAAACGTCTTTGATCTGATTGTGAAACTAATTATCATGGACGGCAATACATTTTGAAAAAACAAGATGGCTGGCAGCTGATCATTCTGGGTTCAAACATGAAATAAATCATCGTGGACAAGTATCTCAACATGTATGATGTTTGTATCAAATTTGAACGAAAACCAACAAGTGTTTTCCAAAAAACAAGAAGGATCACATTATGAAACAAACTAACATGAACATGTACCTCTTTATATGTGATGCATGTGCCAAATACATGTATGAATGAAAATGGTCAAAAAGCCTTGGAGATATAGTAGTATGGACAAAAAGCAAGATGGCTGCCAGTCTACCATATTTGACCCAAATGTAAAACAAATTGTCATAGACATGTAATCTAAAATGAACAATGTATATACCAAATTTTAATGAAAATGACAAACCATAATCATGATACAACATTTCCAAAAAACAAGATAGATGGAGATCTTTGATCCGAATGCGAAACAAAACATAGACTTGTATCCTAACATGTATAATGTATGTATCAAATTAGAACACTAGACACATGCAAAGAATGAACAGAATTGGTCCAAAGGCTTCTGAAATATGACTACGGACGAACTGATACCGAAATATAAGTCCCTGTTTCGAACTTTGGACTAACAAATACTGTTCAGTATTGTCATTAACTTATATGATACTTACATCTTTATAAAACAAATCTGTATTATTTTGCACATCATATGCCAATAGATTTGTTTGTGTGCCAACCATCAATGTATCATTAACAGCATCCACACTTAACGGCCCAGCTTCTACAGCACTTACAGCTTGGTTAATATTCAATAAACTGATATCTGTATCAATTGCACCATCATCTACAGCACGTCCTCCTCTTGCACCACGTGTATGAGGGTTGTGAACAAATACCTAGAGAGAATAACAAACGTCGGTAGAAGATACAGTATCAGGAAGATTCTAGTAAATCACAGAAAAACAAAATTACTTCTTTTTTAAAACCTCAGCAGATGAATTCAGCAGTAGTCGAAGGCTCATAGACTACTGATACTTGTCTTAGGGTTAACATTTTTCTAGTGTAGTAGCCTAATTAGAAATTTACAAAAAAAATTACACTTTGTTTTTTGTTTTTAAATAAAATCAGTATGCATTCAAAGCTCTGAGTATCCTCTGGGTATCTCCTAATTAAGCAATGTGACACTTTCTTCTACAAAATATTACCAAGGGGATATCAACACCTCAAAGTTGTTAAATTCAAGTCATGAACCTACACAGGAACAATTATAGTACCATGGCTATGACTGTTGAATAGTGAGAATTATTACATTTGTAAATTCTGAATAGTTTTAGATACAAGACACATCATGTATTATATAATGTTTACTTTTTTTAAAGTGTGAACATACTGGTGCTTTAACATTGTGCTTTCTAACAGGACTCATTTAGGGATCAAGGGAGAAATCAGACCCCCCCCCCCCCCCACCAAAAAAAATCAAGTTCGGTCAGGTTGATGACTACTGTGGGGAGGTATATTTAAAAAAAAAGAAAATGTTGTTTTTACAATTATTTTAAAATGTTATTTCTATTTTACCAACTAATAAATTACAAGTACAGTAAGACTTTTTTCAACATTACTGTTTCAAAGCATGATTTTGTTGTTGTTGTTGGCTTGCCAAGGTATAAGCAGAACTAGGTGCATCACAAAAAATCCATGTGTCAGTGACGCATCATATCAGATTAAAGAGCATACTAATGTCATTGTGTAAGTTTGACCAGTAGATAGATAACGAATTGCCATATTTATCTATATTTTTTTCCCAGCAAATTGTAACATACATATTTACAGTGGGCAATGTATACAATTATATACATAATCCCTAAACTATTATATTTCAGAAAAATTGTTAGAGCAGAGTGTGTACTTACCTTCCCAGCTGTTGTGGCACATGTTAAACATGGATGCTGCCCATCAAATTTACCCAGTGCCACCATACGTGGGTTTATCTTGTGGTTCAGTTTCAGTGTAAATATGGGTACCAACATGATGGACGGTATGATGTAACCTGCAGGTAAAAAAATATTAAAATTGGTCACAGAAGCTAAGTAAATAAATAAATAATTGTAATATGCACCAAACTATAGCTTGCTCACACTTTGATGGTCACATAATTGAAAAGGGCATAGTTGAAGATTAAAATCACGCTGAATCTACACTGATATAATGGTCATTTAAAGCACTTCAGCAGCATAGAATTTACCAATGAGAAATATTTTGACACTATAAATTACTTTATTTTTACTTGGAATTTATTTTCCCTAAATAGAAAAAATGTCAAAATAAAATCCAGCAAAAATACCGTGAAATTTTTTCCTAAATTTAACTATATAAATCAGTGAAAATCAACTTTATATCAAACAGCTAAAATTTTTTGTTTTAGCAGAATTTATTTCCAGATAAAATAAAGAACTTTACAGTAAGGCCACACCGACTTAATTTTATGGATGACATCCGCGCGCGCATTAGTTTTCGCCTGTTCTCTCAAAAAAAAAAAAAAAAAAAAATCTCCGACGACGAGTCTCCACAGATCGGTTTTCTGTCATATTGTCGCAAAGCGCCGACTTGTCGTAAAACTCGTTTTGGACTACCTCAAAACCAAACTCTGCACAGTTAGATGCGCGTTACGTGAAGCGCAAAGACCTATGGGAAGGAGATTGTCTCAAAACATGCCAATTTTGTCATAAATGATCCAACATGGCGACCACACCACCAAAATACGTGAGCATAAAAGTTCAGAGGTAAAACGGAGGGATTGTTGTAGACTGGTACGCAATTGACGTTGGCCAGGGAGATGTGACGTTTACACAGCTATACGAGAGATCGATAGCAGCAAGCGAGTTTCGCCCAGACAACTTTAAGGACATATTGTTCAGAGTGGCTGTCCCGCGTTTCTTCTGCAATGATGAGAGAAATGAGAGAGGAGTGGAGGTGTATGGTGGCCTAAAAGTCGGTCAGGCGACAAGTCAGTTCGGTTGCTTTGTTCGCATTGAAGTCGGCAAAACTGCAACGAAACCAGCGGAAGCTCCTCGGCCGAAGTCCCCTTTCGGGGTGAAGAAAAGTTTCTTATTATTATTTTTTTCATTTACTGATTCAAATAATTTGCTTGCACGTACAGTCAGTAATATTTTGATCATATGACAAATTTTCATCAAGATACATGTACATAATTTTCTGCATCCAATTTTGTGTTGACACTCTGTTGGTGGTTTTTTTTTCAATACCTAGCCTCTTATAATTTGTTACATAGTTGAAATAGTTCTAGAGCATTTGTGTCTACACTTAGTCTATTTGAAGTGTCACTTTAAAAGCTGTAGTTTGAATGTCAAAGAAGTTAATTTCCTAGTTGCTGTTGACAAACTCATTGTTCATTTTTAATTAATTTTTTTTTCAATACAACACAGTAAGTTTTTCTTTATTATTGAGTTGATGTGTATACCTTTGGCAAAGCTAACATCTGCCTTATCCTCTTGCCTTTTCAAAATCAAAGGTGATGATACCTGTGATAGTAGTACAGTACGAGATGTGTACATCAACATGTGCCTCCTACAAATAAAGACTTGTTGTTTTGTTTTTTTGATACACTGTGATTCAATTCGTAATAACAGCTCCGTAGTCCTGTGGTTTTAGCAGCATTTTTTTTTTTTGGCAGGATTTTTTTTTTCGCCCTCTCGCATTAGTTTTGGGGTCTTCAGAGGATGTCATCCATAAAATTAAATCAGTGTGGCCTAAGTTGAAATTGAATACTGGTATTGAGTTTTTTATGAACAGCGCCACCTATAGTCAAAACAGAATCAAGTAGATTTTCTCCTAATTTGAACTAAATACTAGTACACCTTGATACTTGGCATCTAAGCGCCTCTTATTATCAAACATAGCAGCACACATATTTACATCAACATTGTGTATTAGTATCAACTACTGATATCATTAATCTGTTACTTTTGAAAAAATAATAATCTAATTTTTATTTTGAGCACTTTCATCATACATGTAGACCACAGAATAGGTTTTTAAATGTATAGTGTCACTCCCTGATAATCACTTTTCTGCTATTATTGAACTGAGGAAGAAACTGTCAGTTTTTCTGAATTGTAGGGTTTTGAATGAAATAAACTTACATTGCAATTGGAAAGAATGATTAATAATGCATCTCAAGTTGTCAAAAGAACATTTATTTTTAATATTTTAAGGGTAAGAAGTTGTTGAAATAATAACCTAATTTTTCTAGAGAAGTAGAGATGAAAATTAAAGCGGGGGGAGTTGTCACCTACACTTGCATCATATGGCCATAACATGTCATTGTTTACAAACAAGCGTTTTTAGCGTTATCATCGCTTGGGAATCAATTCCCGCACGTGCACAGGTGACGACCCTCTCACTTTAATAATAAATAGTACAGATCTATCAATTTGGATTTTCAGCTCTCAAGTGACCGTGAATGAGCACCCTGTGGTTGAACAGATCATGATTTTCATCTTTATTTTCGTCGAAAACTGGGTGCGAGCTGAAGCACATTTCTTAATTTTCTTTCCTACTGGTACAAAGTCCTGTTGCTGGTTACATATTATTTTGGAAAATTGAATGAAACTGAAAGTGTCTCAGAAATACAACAATCATGATCATTATGATTTTGTCTTTCGTTTACATCTTAGTACATTTTACATTTCTGACTTTTAATCATGATCGCGTAAATCGCTGTCATCTAACGAGACTTTGTGTACGTAAATAAGATAATTGTTATGTACATGTACACACAGCATCGCCAGCTGACTCAGCTCAGTGACTGCAAATCGATTTGTTTCCATCTCTGCCCTCAGCTTGATATTATTTCGCAAGTCACAGTGTTTCTCACAAAAATATTGTCACGCTTACCTAAAAGTTAACAGTTGATATCTGACAATGCACTATTCCATGTGAAAAAATTAAACAACCAAGCATAATATTTCAGAACATCCTGAAGGAAACAGAAATGGTAAACAACTCACAGACGATCACTGATTCTACGGAATGTTATTTGCCAAGAATGACGGGTAATCTGATAACCTCGTTCGGAGACAATATAATTCAACACCATATTTGATGTACTCTTCTATAAAATATGGGCCAAATTTTAATATGTTAATATTAGCAATAAAATAATAGTAATTATGGTGGGAATAAATAGTAGGCAAATTGTAACTTTAGCGAAATAAATAATGTTGGATTTTGCATTTCGAAAAAGGCTACGTCCAAAAGGAAAATGTCTGCGCCCATAGTTTAGTCTCGCGTCGCTGTGTATTTACACGCAGTTTTATGTTGTATTAGTGATATCATTTGATAATCGGTTCACGAACATTATGAACGCTAATTGTGTAAGAAGGTAAGATGCAACAAATCGATTCTAAGCCGCAAGCATTGCTCCAGTAACACGATGTCGTCATTCCGCTGAAATCGCGTGGTTTACGTAGATTTCATTTCCGGGTGTAAACATCATTAACATGTTGTAACAGTGTATCATTTAATATTTTAATTTTCCTAACGTGCAATGTATGACGTGTAACAGACGAGCAACTAAGCCATGTCAGAAAACTGGCTGGTGAACGGTCATTTCGGCTGTGTACGTTGGATATGGGGGTGTGGAGGGGATCCGGTTTGTATAGCTGCAGCTACGGTTTGTAAAGACTAGTGGATAAGCAAGAAGTGGACCACTTAGAAACTGGTCCATTTCTCTTGAATTCTTTTGGGGTAAGAGTTTATTTAGCCAGCTCCACCCCAGTCACTCTAAACCATAACTCGCTATCGCCCTCCCTAGTTTATATGTATAGGCTCCTCTTGAGGACACTTGTCTGTAGATGGGCATATGCAATTGTGATTCACTTTTATCATGCCGTGACAATTTTTGACTATTTGTGTCTCAAGCCTCGCTTTCACATTGATGGATTGTATCAGTGGTATCATATCCCTGCAGTGGGCGGTGCATGAAAAAAATCCATTAGGGTGGGTGGGGTTGATGGTCGGAAGCAACTCTTCCCGAATGCAATCAAGATGGGTGTTACCATATTTATAATACACTTAATTAAAGATCCCAGACAATTTGTGAGAAGAGCAATCCATGTCCATATCTCATTCATAAATATAATACGTTTCATTCCATGTATGGGATATACCCGGTAAATACATTTGACAACCAATAGACCAACCCTGGGAGCTTGTGCGTTGGGCTCTGTTATGGCAGCCCATTTGTACCATGTTTTTTCCCAAACTGGGTTAATAGTTGATACACATGTACATGATGGTATACATATATCTTGTATGCTTCTATTTCTTTTTGATTCAAAATGGCCATTTGTACAGTACATTTTCTTAGTACATTTGTACTGGGTTAATAGTTGATACATGATGGTATACATATATCTTAAGATTCAAAATGACCAACCGACGGCAGAATTTCCATTTAAACTAACCACACTAACTCACACCACCGTATCATAATGTCAATGACATGGTTACATATAATACATTGTAATCATCATAGATACATGTATACTCAACCACGTTTACGAAAACATTGTATGATTTGAAATAAATATTTTTGTATTTTCTTACCGGAGATGTAAAAGTATATCAACTCTAGTTCATGGTATTTTTCAACACACATAATTTATTTCCATGTTATTGTATAGTTCATACACTATCTAATCAATATCATTTGTTGTGGTATATCACAGGATTATATTAAATGCAGCCAAACAGTATTCAAACATAAAGGCTGGGCAGATGATTACACAGTCTGCAAGAAATATCACTAGATGTCCTTCCACAGTATCCAGAATATTGGGAATTGGATCTGGAATCTCCATATATGCAGCACTTGCAGTTAAACCAGATGAATCTGAGAGTAAGACGAGCACATCTAAATTACCTGTAAGTTTCTTGCTTTTCAATATTGCAAAATATCTTTGCATTGCTACTGAGGTATACTGTATATATACTGTAGAATACTTTATTTTCGCTTAGATACATGATACATACATGATACATGTATACATTTTGTATGTTTGGTTGTCATAGTTACATAAATCAGTGAGACAGGCATTCATAATCTGACTGTCATGTGTTTTACAAACTGATTCTATGCTCACTGAAACGTCTGGTCTTGTGCAATGAAAATAAAAATTATCCTTTATAATATTTTTTGTACAATTACATTTCTTATTTTTGTTGCCATTAATTTTATTCAGTGTCTTTGCAAGTGAGATTCCGAGAATACTAGTAGGGTGGCTTTGAACTGTCACCTTTGACATTTCCAACGCTAGTTGTTAAAGGGGCAGACCACTGATCTCATCAGTAGTAGTAATGTGAGTTTTAGATTAGTAATAAATACCCCCTACTGTACCCAAACACCGTCTCTGTGTGTGTGTACTTTTGTGCTGCCCCCCTCCTTAACAAACCCAGATTTAAGGCTTGGTTATGATATAACCAGTTTTAAATTAGGGTTTGGCCTAATGCCTGCAGGTCATGGGTCACATGCAAATACGATATTGATCAACGAATCAGAGACCCACCTTGTGAACTTTAATCGAGGATTAACTTAAGTAAATAAACTAACTCACAAGTCGTGGCATTTTCAAACTAATATCATTGCGATCGCTGCAGCCGCCAAGTTTACAGTGCCTTCTCTGCTTACCCCCCCTTTTCCCACTCTGGCTTGTAAGGGATTCTTGTTACTGCTATTTACAGCATTTAATATTTACTTTAATATGCCTTGACATTGTATAACATTTGTGATTTGTTTTTGTTTTTTTTTTGCATTTCCTAATTATGTACAGCTTTGAGATATTTCTGTTGCAATGTTTACAGTCTTTATATTATCAACTATGTAACATTAATTCCTATTGTCTTTTATCATTAACAAGTCTGCTGAATTCTGGTTTTACTGTACTTTCGTTTTTTTGTTTTCTTGCCAGTTATGAGATTGTTTTTTTTTTTTTTTTTTCCTTGTTTTTTTTTTTCCCTTTAGGGGAATTTCATTCGTAGTGTTTTCGGTTTGTAGTACATACAACAGTTACCAGTGGTCTCCCCTGGATCAGCCTTACAAGTGATTTATATATCACCTTTGAACTGTCACCTTTGACATTTCCAACGCTAGTTGTTAAAGGGGCAGACCACTGATCTCATCAGTAGTAGTAATGTGAGTTTTAGATTAGTAATAAATACCCCCTACTGTACCCAAACACCGTCTCTGTGTGTGTGTACTTTTGTGCTGCCCCCCTCCTTAACAAACCCAGATTTAAAAATGAATCAATTCTAACACAGAAAGTCACTGAATTTATTTCAATTTTGATTTGGATCCTTAACCATTTTTGTTTCCTAAAATATCTTGACATAGGATATTGATGCTAGCAGTTTGACTCATACAAGTATAATAAAGAATGCCACATCCCTGACTGTGAATGCTGCTTCCACTTTGTTATCACAGACCACACTAGCACTTATTGAAACATTGCAGGACTATGCAAAGGTAAGCCACGATGTAACAATCAAGTAGAACACTGTAAAGTGTTTAGATGTGACTAACATAACGCATGATTTCAAAATAAGGAAGACATTCAATCACTTCCATGATAATTTCAAACACTCATTATTTATGGCATTTTATGGGTGAATTCTATTGTTTTAAATGTCAGATGTATAATAATACCTTGTGCATACATAATTTATCTCGGTTGTAGGAAATGTACACCTTGATGTCTTTAATGGACCATCAAATTATGATGTTAGCAAATGAATTTGAACAAGAAAAAGTGGGGATGTTGATGATAGAGGTCAGAGGTGAAATAGAAACCAAGAGATTACAAGTGGAGGTGAGTGTATATGTTAACCATGGATAGATGTAACCCTGTCTACTTGCCCATATGAAACAGTTTTGGCACAAAATTGTTAATAAAGTCGTGAAGGGAAAATATGCATTTAATAAAAAAATGCTGTTAATAACTCAAAATTAAATCTGCTTCCTTCAAAAGGTCAGAAAGAACTTGTTTATAGAAATTTATGTTGATGTGGTATGCACTAAATTCTTTTCATCTCTAAAACTAAGTGGCAGATTCAGCACCTGCTAAATGAATACTTGTTTAAGTATAAGCATCTGCTTGTATCACTGCATAGCTGTTTAGACGCCTTAGTCTAGGTCACTGTTTAAGTAAGTCCTGTATATGTCACTGAAATGACATATGACCTTCTGTAATCACTGTGTGTGTGTTTTTCTACCAGCAACTTGAGTCTATGTTACACTTTGCTGTTAAAGTGATGGAATCCACTATGCAAGCTGCATTTCAATCAGGTAATGTCAAATAAAATATCTACATAAATTGTATACATGAATAATTGGTAACTACATACATGTATTCTGTCAAAACATTTCACTACAGTTTCTGTTTATGTAATGTGCTTTTATTTGTCTGTTATACATTTTTGTTGTTTTGGAATGAGATTTAAACCAGAGTGTGAAAATTTACAGAGCTGCACCTCACTTCACAATTTCACTCAGAAAATGCATATTAATGAAATGATCCTCAAATAACTTTGAAAAACAGGATATGCTGTCACGATGGTGCTGTTAATTTATTGATGACTATATGACAGGGTTCTTCACAAACTGGAGGTTTTCATCATTTCTTGACTTGACTCTTCAGCTGGCCATCATCCAAAAACCTACTCATTATTATAACAGGAAAACTTGAATTATTATGACTTTCATCATTTGTGTATACTGTAAAATGACTAATTTTCACTGGGTTTAAATTTCACTGATTTATCATTTCAGACATATTCAGTGGGTTTTAAATTCACGGTTTTATCATTTAGACAATGTGTTCTATGCTAAATTTTACATATTCACTGGGTTTTAATTTAGCGCCTTTTCCCAGTCAGCGAAATAAGCCAAATTAAAACCCAGTGAATAATTAACCCCTTTACAGTATTCACTGTATATCTATCATGTCACTATCGTATTTGCTTTTTTTTTAGAAGTGAATGATACAGAGCATGGAATGGTCATTTATTGAAATGTACACTATTTTATAGTATAAAGCTGGTCATTCTATAATGCTTTATTTTCTCAGGGTGTGATGCTGCAGCTATACTAGCAAGTGAGAGAATCCAACAAGCCGAAATGCAAGTTGAATCAGCGAGGAAAATTGCCAAAAATGCGCTTGAAAACCTGACAGAGAAACAAAAACATTCAATAGAAGCTACTGCCAAACATGAAAAGGAAAAACAAAAACAGCAAACACAGAAAGATGATGATTGAGAACTTTATAGATTTTTTATGATTATGTCAAATCAATTGTGTGTGTCACAGATATGGTAATAATACTGCCAGGGATAATCAAGAAATAAAAAGTTAGTACTTTAGAAAAACTACATGTTAGTGTATGTACATGTATAATGTTTATTGTATACCACTGTAGTGTGGTACAATGTAGATGAGTTTTGTCTTATTGCTGGGCAAAGAATAACTTTATTTGTTCACTTTAAACCACAAGTTGACTTTGAGTTACATGTACAGCGGTAAGTAACTGAATGTATATTATACCATGAATGAGTTTTATGCCTTAAGGTTGCTCAATACAGTTTCTCAAGCTTGGTGGTTCTATCGCCCATATGTTAGCATAGGGCATTTTTTACAAATTACTCTGTACCCCTTTATTTCTAATTGCACGAGTCGTGTTTTCTTTTTTCTCTAGTCCGTTTATTAATTCTGAAAAACACATACAGTTATATCACATTTATCTGAACATTTTGATTCTTACCACTAATTAATTTTATCTTATATGACATTGTATAGCAATGAGCACTCTATTCACAAAAATAACAAATATCCAAAGATTTTTTTAGAACTGTATTGAGCTATCTTAACGAACATTATTATACATCTGTCACCGCCATTAGTTACAGCGTGCAGTATTTTATGGGGTATTATCATCCTACCATATAAGGAAATGCGAATTCCAAATAGTGAAATGATTACGCTCGTAAGTGTCCTCTAATTATAAAAACAAACATGGCTGACACCAAGGTTTGACTGGATTCCACACTGAATTGACTGATTCTGTTCTAAACTTTTTTGATTTTATGATGTATCCTTGGAAAGAAAAAATGTATAATAATAATAAGGTTATTATGAGGATACCTCAAAGTATGCACTCCGACAATACGACGTTCAATCTACCTCTGCTTTGCGTTGATTGGTACTCCCACAGTACAGATTGTTTACTTTTGAAAAGAATCAAAATGCCCAGATCAATAGTTAAACATTTTTGAAAATCACCATGGCAATGAGACACTTAGAGTATAGATGTCACAAAAATTATAGTGGGGGAGTATTCACCTGCGTGTGGCGCAGGCGATCATAGCATATCTTTGTTTTTTAAACAAGCGCCTACCCATGGGTCTTTGCGTTTTTAGCACATGTTGTAATCGTCCCCTAGTCCTCAATTTTGTGCATCGAGTTTAAAACAACTGTTTAAAATATGTGAAACGATATGTTACAAGAAATGTTCAGGAACTGGATGGTAATGTTTCTATTTTGAAAACAAGCTCTTATCATAACTTAGTTTGCTGCGCTTCGTCATCATGTTTGTCTTAACTGCTTTGAAAATATAGTGACTGTGTATGCCAATGTTTTCATATGAATAGTATGGAATGCCAGGTTAACCAGTAAAAGAACAGAATTTAACATAGCTCACTATTATTCCACACAGTCGTACAAACTTCTTCTATGGAATTGTTACGGTTTCTGGGTAATTTTCGTCTGGGAACATACTGTAAAATACTTAATTTTACCTGGAATTAATTTCCGCTGAATAGACATTTTGTCTGTTTCATAAAAATTTTCACTGATTTTTGATGAGTTGAATGTAGAATATAAGAAAAATGGATTTTCGCTGTATTTAATTTTCATCGATTCATCCCTTCAGCAAAAGTACTGAAAAATAAAGTTTTTACAGTAACAGAATCCCAAGCTTCTCGCAGACATTTTTGGAGTTTAGAAATTATTTTCACGTGTGATGCAGACTATTCATGTATCATTTCCACTCACAACAGTCATGGAAATGATCATACCACAGGATACCTTTTTTACTCAAGAAAAACACTTCCATACCTTACAAACTTAATAGTACACAGGTATAACGCCTTCTCATGATATTACGCAATGGGTGGTAATTTACATCTAGACCGAAGCATGTAAAGTGCTGCTAAATTATGTAACACATGTATTTGAATAAACTACGGTCAAACCTCTGTATAGCGAGCACCTTTGAGGGGGGGGGGGGTCATTTGTTGTGTTCGAATCAATTACACATTCCCCCAAATAGAACGTTTATTTCTAACATGTGATACCTGTATAACATCGACTGGTGCAAGGAAAAGTCGTGTTCAATCAAGTGATGTTTTTAGCGAATCGACCAAACTAGTAGTAATGTCTATTGTTAATTTTAGACAGTATTTCTAACGATGTTCAGCAACTATTTATATATAGCGACTAGCGAGGCGCCACCAGTGGTGAAAATTTGACATTCAATCTAGAGATATAATACTTGAGATAATCTGTAGTAATAACAATAATAGTTTTATTGCAACTTCAGAAATAACATATTATCAGTGTACAAATGATAAAACCCGTACAACAATTCAGCTAAAAAAAAGTTTCTCTAATTCCAATATAATCTGTGTTGAATATCGAGTACACTTCCAACGATCGTCCAAAGTTTGTGTATAGCCGAGAGATATGATACCGGAAACAACTAGAACCGACC